GAAATTTAAAGTTAAGAGGATTCGAATAGAAATGAAAAGTTTGATTTTTAGGGCCATGTTATGCAGTGTCTAGGGCACCGCATGAGTACAATTGTTGTTGTTCAATGCAAATTTTAAATAGAAGAATGAGAGAAAAACAATACGGCCGTTTAAACTCCGGCATGAGAGCCGGCGTATTTGTGCCCCGCCACTAAGTCAAAACAGTGTTGTTTAGTAATAAATTTCAAAATTTGCGCCTTTTAGGAGCAAATTACTACAATTCTAATACGTTTTGGAGAAAAAATGGCAGTAAGCAGCACAGAATTTTTTTTAAAAATCGCTAATAATATAATTATTACTGTTAAGTACTGTCAATAATTATTGTAAGATAATATAATAATAAATTACCATTTTATTACAGCCTCTATGAATTTTTTCTTGCTAGATATTTTTGGTAGCAAATTGAAAGTGAGCATATCTAAATTTCCTTTTAAATTTAGACACAACCAAGTAGTAGTAAAAATACAAAATTGGCAATACTGATGTGACACTCTGCATAACATGCATTTTCGGCATAGCTAGAAAGAACGAATTTTGCCGTGCCTGAGACACTCTGCATAACATGCAGAGTTTACATTCGTAAACAATCGGATTATTGTCGGCCTTATGTGTTGTACAGATAAAATATTCAAATTGTTTCTATGCACCACACCAAAGATTGCTATCGTTTTTCCAAATAATGGCATACTAAAACGTTCCATGCTCAGATATTCAAGTCCAGAGTTATTGCAGGGTCTGTTGTAACATATCCTCTCATTCTGAGGTCTGTTTATATGTTTTTTTTTGTATTTTATTATATTTTTACAGTGCATGGTAGTCTGTTACACACTCAACAGTCAATCTGTAGAGCCATGTCTCCTTATTTGCAAACCCAGACATCAGATTAATATTAAGCAATTTAAGGAATTTAAGGATTTAATTTGAACTTTGTTAGTTCTGCAGATTATGCCAATTGTGCTCAGTGGCCATATGTAGATGAGTTTAACAGTTGGATAGGTTATGCTTTATGTTTACATCTGCACCTCATTAGAGCACGTGTTTTTAAAGTTTAAATCCCTCTTATGTTAATTTATTAGTCCATTGTTAAATTAATTTGAATTTAAATTAATTGGTGGTCGAAAATAGCAATTGTAGGAGGGTTTCCTATTCTAAAATAATCATTTAATAATACCTAATACCTAATCATTTAATAATAATACCTCATAAAGTCGAAATTGTGTGAATTAAAACTTAAAAAATTATAAACAATTTAGTTAAAACATCTTTCCCTTGGTTGAATTGGTAATCGTATAAGAAAGACAATCCAGTGAAAATAAACATGATTGCAAACAACAACGACGTCACGAAGCCATATCAGTTCGTGCAATAGTCATATTCAAATAACAGAATCTTTCTATAAATAACTCCAATACCCACTCTTGCCCACATTTCAAAAGGTACTATAGATACACACAGATCTTTGTAGATAAATGGAACTCATAAATGGTTTCAATAACGATGAGCATTGAGTGGTAAAGCTGTGCACACTTCAGTTTGTTATTCTAGTAAAAACCAAAGCTGATCTAAATTACTTAAGTAAGAACATTTAAAAATATTTTAATGTCCAAGAGAATATGCATGTTGTTCGACTTAAATACAATTTTCTTCCACAAAGAAAAAATGCATTGTCAGTGCAACATTCACTCAATTGTTTTTTTTTTACATTGAGTGAATTTATTTATGTTCACGTGATAAAATTCGAGTACACTATCACAAAATATGAAATTTGAAGTATTTGAAAATATAGTCATGTGCACAAAAATATTATATCATTAACGAAATAAACCTGGATGTGGCAATAGTTATAATAAATTGTCGATAAATATATTAATTCTGAAACTAGCGCATGCTAATTGGTTTATTTAATTCATTTCATTAGAAAGAGCCACTGAACAACAAGAAATTATATATAAAAAAGTAGCTGGAAACGATTTGCAATGCATTGTCCTACTTTGCAGAAATTTCCTGCTACAGAATCATGTTATTTATGAGTACAGTTTATTTTTATTTCTTTAAATTATAAAGACAGTCATAGTAGACAAATTTCTGGTTTATTGCTGTATCGGACATTGGTTCCGTTTCTTTTTTGCCTTGAAAACTAAGATGTTGATCAGAATATAATCCGTAAAGAAAGAAAGCATTGCATTTCAAAATTGTTATAAAAGCAATAGTAAAACAGTATCGCAATAGTACTTTCGAATCTAAGCTAGTTGGTCAATTGGACTGAATGCCACTGTCACCTTGTCTAACTTATCATTCATTAAATCAAAATATATCCGGTAGTTGAGAAGATAAGAATCTAAAGAAAACCAAGCCACATATATATTTGAAGTCTAATTACACAATATAGTAGGTATCGGTAGATATAGATGTTGCCAAGGAAGCTTTGAGCATGTGTGATCCCCAAAATATGGTGAGAATATTGATACAAATCAAAATATATTTGATACATATGTATATATCAAAATGTAAAGAAAGACCACAGATTGAAAACCTTAATCAGTTTCTTCAACCTAGAAGAACATATATATGGCAAAGATTTGGGTATATGGTATGTTATGCAGACGGTGTTATGCAACAATTGAAACATGATAATCGACTTTTATACTTTTTTTACTTTTATTCATAGTCAATGAAGTAACAATTAATATTGAGGGGAACTGCAGAAATTACTTCTTTTGTGCTTGTCGATTTTTAAAACGAGAAATTTAAAATTTATTCTTTTATAAATGTTGTAAAAATGTTCAAATAATTTAAAATTAGAAAACTTATTTCGATTTGGAATTCCTTTTGAGACACGCCATATTATAGTAGTAAATTTATAACAACAGTATTTAATATACAATATAAACAGGGCAAATATACAAGTGCCGAATTTCAGATCAATTTAACATTTCGTATACGATTGTAAATAATATACGCTAAGTCGTAAATAATTGTCTGACTGCAGGAAAATTGATAAAAAAAATTTATTGTAAATTTGAGCAAAAAGTGTTTATTTTACCCCAATAAAGCACTGAGAAATTTAGATTTGGTGTAAATATGTCCAATATTGATATTGGACGACAAGTGGTATAACCTGATTTTTCTCGAAATGTGTTGGAAATGGAAGCATGCTTCTTAGATTCGTTATTAAAGTCGTATCCTTTGGCATTGTAACACAATTTCGACTGGGTGGCAAAATCCAGAAATCAGAACCGATTTCTTAGCCATAAGCAAGGTGCTTAATTCTCTAGATATAAATTATTCGGAAGAGGTGCTGAATTGTCCAAGCATAACTTATTTGGAAGATGGGCTGTCAATTTCTTTTTTTATAACAACTAGCTGCTATTGAATCATTCAGAATGAGCAGCTTGCCAAATCTTTGCAAAGTTATAAATGCGTACACTACAATACTTGCTGAATGACGTATTGTTGATTGTACATATTTGTAATTGAAACGCATGTTTTCTTCTTTATATCATATCCGTATTCTGGCGTCAGTTTCTATTACATTCAATTTGAACTTATTGAAGAAAATAATTTTGATTCATTGTGGTGCTCCAGTTTTTCTATGCAGTCCAATAGCTGCTTTTTCAATTTGGACAAAGTAGTGAGCCAGTTGTATAAGATTTCACAAACCGTTTGGTGTGTATATTAGCCACATTTTTTTGTCACAATACGTAACTCCTTTAGTTTCTGTAACATCGATTTAATGTTATTTATCATATTTTTTTAAGCTTACAGTCATTTCTTATTTATTAGTGCCAAAACTTCTAATTTCCTGCAGTTTTTATGCCAGAGGTTAGGCAAATTCATGATATTGCATATATTAGTACTTGAACCTTTCACCACAAAGCGTAATTAACGTTCTATAGATCTAAACTGAAATATACAAAGAAAAGAGAAATTCGGATCATGTAAAAGAAGGCATATATCTAATATAAAAATAAATTTATTGTATTATGCGTTTAGGTTATTGATGTCACATTTCTATTACTTTTGTCCCAAAATCTTTGTTCTATAAGATTTGAAATATGAAAATAATACAGAAATCTTTAAGAAATGTTGTTCGCGCAAAAAAATTAACAACTTTAAAGTGATAAGTGAATAAGATTTACAATTCTTGAGTCATGAATGCTAAGTTTGTGATGATGTTAATCTCATTATTATGGGCAACTACGGTTTGTGCAGTTTTATAATAAGCCTAATATTGTAGTTTTATTTTAAAGGTATTTTTATTTTAATAAGTTGAGAATATTCGATTTGCATAAGTTTCATGCTGCAATGCCAATATACAGTGCATTTTCACTATTACAAATTAATTTCATAAAGCATTTTCAATTCCACAGTAGGTGTAAACGTTGTAAACATCATTCTATAAATAATGTTATGTATCATTAGAATTTATTTAAATATTCAAAATGAATACTATACATACCGATTCTTGTATGCAATAATTGTGCATTTAAGAAGTTGATAATATATAAGTTTTTGTATTTCCAAATATAAAAAGTCCTCAAAAATGTGTACATATATTGATGATTCTGTATATGCGCGCTCATTTTTGATATAGATTTTAAGAATACATGCATTCTCAAAAACAATAGTAACAATTTCATAGTAATTATATTCTTACTCAGTTCACAAGATGCTTTCGTTTATAATTAACTCTCATCCGATATATGTGTTACATCGACGCATGCATACATCACCGTTAAAATACTTCGTCTCATTCGTCCCATACACATATGGTAAAATATTTAAACCATTGAATTTAAAATTGAATGCTAAAGTTTGTAACATATGAAAAAAACCTAAGTTAAACTAAAATATAAATCAAACAAACACAAGCACATAATACTAAACTCAAAAAGAACTGAAAACTGAACTCAACATTCGTTAAAGTTGATGGTGTGCGAGTACTTTAAAATAATAACAGAAGTGAAAGAAAAAAACGCAGGGGTTTATTTTTGGGATATTTTTGAAAAAAAATAAACACATATTTTGTTGGCGGTTGATCGTACAGCTATAATGATCGTAGTAGAGACAAAAAATCTTGAGAGTTCGGTATTCGATTAATACGTCTAATAGCGTCTACTGGTAAATGACGGCTGCTAATCGTCGGTTGTTGATCGTCATTTGCTAGCTCGGTTGGTCACTGAAATAGTAATGAAATAGAAAAGTATCGGACGGGGCGCATGTAGTATTTGTATTTTATATACATACATATTTCATATCACACAATATTCTGTACATAAGAACACAATTTTTTGCATATATTAAAATGTGAATTTTGAGTGAGAAACAGTGCAGATAAAGCGGTTAATAATCGTAAATTAATTCAAATATTTCCAGCACGTCAGTTAATTATGATTGTTAAGTGAATAATATTATTATATAGTTTAATTATAGCACTTCAATTTGTATTTTTATTGAGATCAAAGAAGTGCATTCGGAAAGAATTTTAATAACTTGAATATATTACATCCAAATATTTTTCATAGTTTGATTATACCAGCACACTCATCAGAATATGAATATTTCTTAGCACACACCATATATGATAACACATCTCCGTACGTAAGAATATAACTTCATGTTAAATTAAATACTAAAAAATGATTAATTAATAAAATAATATTGATTATTACAAGTAATGTGATGCACAAAACAATAAAAAATACTTTCTTCCTTCCGTAATATGAAACTTATTAACATAAAATAGAAAATAAACTAGCTTATTAAACAGTTTATTGCAGAAAGGAATATTTTTTAAGGTTAAACTATTCTAAAAGTTTTTTTATATAGTCTTAAAAAAATTAGCTCAATTTGTAGTGGGTTTTCAAAAATGAAATGTGAATAAGTTTACAAGAAAAGTTTGCTATCAGTTTTGAATAAAGAAAAACAAATATGTAAATGAATAATATAAATATATATATATATATATATACAGTTATTGTATATATAAAAATTAAACTATACTATTATTCCATGTATGGGGTCGTATATCAAAGAAATATAGTTCTTTCAAAAGTGTTCATTCATTATACAAATTCATTATTAAGATTGTAGTACGAGTGAAAAAATGTAAAATATATAATTATTTTACAAAACAAAAAAATTTACAATTAGTTTTCCGACTATATTTACTTTAGCACCTTTTAATTCTATCCGTTTGGTCCATCGTCATATAATTTTTAATTATTTCGGTTCCTAAAAATGAACAATTTTAATTATACAATATTAAATCTTATAATGTATTATATTGTATCATATTGCTATATTTTTACATTCTCGGATACTTTACTTTTTCAACTCTCAAATCAATCGAGGTAACTTCTAAAAACTATTCTTAGCATTATTTTTGTTTTTAAATATATACAATATGTTATGCTCACTCTTATTCAATATACATACATATAAATGTTTATTTCTTAATAGTGAATTATACATACTCAGATTAGGACGCCCGAATTAAATAGAAAGATGTCTTTATTAATAAGCGATAGTATCCACTTAATGTACATAGGGAATACCAACTTAATTTATAGATCCGTTTTTTTTTAAGGAATAATTGTTTAGTCGATCATATGCATACATATTCATATGTATATGATAAGATTCCTCTTTATATTTTTAGTATAAAATTATATGCTTTAAAATGTTTAAAATCGTGTGATAAGTCACAAAAGATACTTAGTTGCCTACCAATCGGCTAATTTTTAAGTATGTACATGAGTACATATATCGTAAAATCCTAAGCCAATATATTTTTAAAAATAACAGCTATTTTCCGTAGCTATTTCTTGATTTCGTTGTCTTCTAGTTTTGTTATTGAATTTTAAAATATACAGTATAGGAAGGCTAAAGGTTAACTTCTAAATATTAATGGTTTTTACTGAATGTTCAGTCTAACATCAAGTTGGTGTACATAACATTGACTTAGCATATAGTATACCAGTAAATGAAACAGCCGCATATATACATTAATATAGGAACATATGTATACATTTCTCTGTATTTGCAGTTGACTGAAGTACTGATATATTTCTACTATCAAAGTTTTTAACTTTTGTTTTAATTATTCACTACCACACAGCTATTTCCACACACGTATGCAAACGTATGTAGATAGTAATATAAGCCGAAATTGAAATAGAATTTGAATTTTCGGCGCTTATATTGTACTTAAACATTAAAAAAGATTAAAAAATTAAAAAATTAAGAAAAGAACTTTTAATAAACTTTCAAAATTGGCAATCATAGAAGCAACAACCGTCGCAGTATCAAATTTTAATCAAATGGTAAGTTATTTTGAAATACAATTCTATGCTTTATTTTTTTATCTATACAACTATATCTACAAACATATGCTATGAACCATAACTATGCTGTATCATTCAAATCAACTACAATTACATATAAGATCCATATAATTATATAATACAGCAAAGCATGCTTAGCTAGTTAAATATAGACACTGGTACGACGAAACTACAATATTATTGATAGTTTTCGTTATAAACCAAAGACAATATTTCAAAACACTCACTGGGGTGTTTGATTGTTGATTTGAGTCTGAAGTGCATATACGTTATTTCGTTGATCATGCATGGAATACCGATGTACTTTTTTTGGTATAAATGTGATTAGATTTTAAGTAGATGTGCTAATATTAAACCATTTATAAAAAAAATTTGGTCCGTTTTTGTAGTAAGGGAGTTTTTGTAGTTGTATTAGAACTGGTAGTATTCAACTGAAACTAAAATGAAGTTAATGAAAACATTACCGTCCCTTCACATAATTTGTAGGAAAACTCTTTTGAAAATTCACATCGCAGCTTCTATATTTTGTTTTTAGATTTTTTATTTCTTCTCATATACATATGAATGTATATATATTACTGTGTATAAATAATGAGCGTACTCGTGAACTGTATTCGAAAACGTTGGATTGACTATTTTTATAACAGCCAACTCATGCAACGATACGATGTTCATCGTATCTAATACAGTACACTCTGATTCTGTTAGCATCCTTCCTTCTCTTCTTGTTCTGAATTAGTTTTGCTCTACGAGTGTACAGTATAAATTTAAATGAACATCCATATATTTTCTTTAAATACATACATTAGAAACATTGTTTGGTTGTAAGCAAAAATTTATTTCTACCATCTGCATTGACATTTAAATAACATTTTTAACTAAGAGTATCGCAGCGTACAATGTTTGTATTTTATGTATACGTATATTTACATACGTATTTAGTTGCTCGAAGTGGAAGACAAAAGGAAAATACCCCATTAACAAAATGCATGTTAGAGTAGAAATAATAATTAGAAATTAATATATATGTATATATATTTATTCTTTATAGATACATTAATATGTTCAAATTTATTATTTTTACTTATACTATACGAGTAACATAAACAATCTTAAAATCACAATTTTATTGCTGTAGTATACAAATTGGATGTCTTTTATAAGTAAAAAGTTAAATTCTACCACATCTATTAAAGTATACAAGTGTATAGATATGCATAAGTATATCAACTTGTTTGCTTTAATTAAAACATTTGCTTTAAAAGAAATATTAAGAGGATATTTTAAAATCTCTATATGCCTACATTTATTTTGACAGTAAAAGGACATATGTATGTTAATTCGTTAGCACTTGTGCACATCGGATAATAATATTTTTACGGAATAGATTTAATTAGTGAACTAAATGATGATTGTTTATCTCGACAAAGTTGTTCAGTAGCTTAGGTGAATACAATGTTCAGGTGGATTTATATAAAGACTACCATGTTGGCCAAATGAAATCGGTGATCACAGTAGGTTCCATCAAAATCGTGAGTAAATTCATCAAAAATTAGTCAATATATTGATTAAGATTTATGGAATCGAAATAGAGCATTCCAAACGGATCAATAGATTGCATTTGATACAATATACAACCTATTCGGCATCTTGCGAAACAAATAATAGGCAATCCCTGGCGGCGATCTAAAACGTTGATCTGTTGATAAAAAAAAGTTTCGAATCTAAAAAAATACTTAAAACGATATTTAATTCGTATTATAGGATAGCAAAATTTAGCATGTGTCGTTATTGAATTTCTAATATAAGTAGCAAAATAAAGCAACATTTTTTATTTGTAGTGAACGTAAGGTATTATGCTTATTGATACCTATTAAAGTTTTAAAAATTTTAAACAATTATGTTTACGAATATTCTTACTTTAGGATACCAAAACACCCACAAGTTCTTACCATCATCAAAGGGCGCCACGTACTCCTGAAAGTTATTTTAATGTACCGGAATCAATTTTACTTTTAAATATAGTGAAATCAGAAAGAATACAAAGTGCATTTCAATCAAATCGTAAAAATCACGCTAGCGTTTGGGAAATGGTAGCTGAAGTTTTAAATCGCTACAGTGCACGCAAGCGCTCTGCAAAACAATGCTGTAATCGTTACGAAAATTTGAAAAAAATTTATACGCAATTAAAAAAAAATCCAGAGCGACACGTACGTCGGAATTGGCCTTACATGTTTCTGTTTAAAGAAATTGAAGAACAACGTGGCGAATGTTGGGGTTCCAATGGCAAAAGGCTATCACTTATGCAGAAAAATAATAAGGAACTGTCATATTATCGGCGACGGCAGGCAACTGACATAGGCGAGCTTCTTAAACATGAAGCAACAATAGCTGTAGAGCAAAGTCTATTGCATAGTCTGACACATTCAACAGATTCAAATAGTAATAGTAAATTGGATCGTTTTTTACCAAATCATCTTGTTGAAACTCAATTACACGATGTGCCATATAACGAAATGCCTTTACAATTACAACCACCGCAAGTTATGTGTAAAGAAAATGATTTGCATAATGGAGAAAATTCCGTAAGGTTAATTGCTTCATCCTCTGCGCCAATTAGTGGTAATAGCTGTAATAGTGTAACAGAAAATGGCAGCAGTAGGAAAAACAACGCACAACTTGAATATGATAAAGATTGTAATGGTGCATTAAACTTGCAAACGAATGATAATAGCGTTTCGATGAAGTAAGTAAAAATAAATTCCAATTTTAATTCAAAACTAGTCAATGCATTTAAAGTAAATGGTATTTTGCCTTTGACAGATCGGAACCACTTTCAGAAGGAGAATTTAACCCTGATGACATTCAACTTATGCAAACAAATTATAACGGGTTGGTATATATTTATTTGTATTTTTGTTTTGAATTCGTAAAGCTTTTGTATTATATATATATTGATATACATTTGTATGTATATATGTATAAGCAGTACTTGCAAAAAAAGGACACGAAAAAAACTAATAATGTTAAGAATTTAAAAAAATGAACGTCTGTCAGATTGCGCTTCATTTGTATATTTCATTTTTATATTGAATTTTTTCAGTGTTCTGATATCTTTAAATTAAACATAGGATTTGATTTGAGCAATATATTAAGGTTTCATCTTTTTTTTTTTGCTTTATGCAAATAAATTTGAAACTACCGTTTTTTATCAGTTTTTGCTATTCATTTCATATATTTGAACTCATATCTCAGATTTTGACTTCTTACTTATTCTTCTTATTTGGCACTACAATCCAGTGTGAACCTTAGCCTCCCTCACGGTTCAGTACTCAAATCTTTCTTGCATCACCATACACGTTCTCATTTCATTTTGTTCTTGGCCTACCTCTGTGCCTGTTTGTCATCGGCTTTGCCTTGTATATGCTGGTCGGCTTCATCTCCGGTCCCATTTTACTACATGAGCAGCACATTGAAGCTTCTGCGACTTAATATATCTCACTATATTTTCGTTTCTTAGTAGTTCTTCAGTTTCATTATTTGTTCGTCTTTGAATAGTTTCTGCATTAATTTGGATTTGACTTACTATTTTTATTTCGAAAAATTTTAAAGCTCCTTCGTCCGCCCTCGTCATTGTCCATGCTTGGATAGTAATCTTCATTTAATTTAGTCCAAATATTTATAGAAAGGTCTATTTGCTGCCTGTATTCTATTTCTTAAAGTTGCTTACAACCTCAAAATTGTATTCACCAATTGCTATGTGTTCCGTACCGGAACTCTCGTTCCTTCTAGTTAGCTTGAGTTATTTAGTTTCACTTTCATTTATTCTCAGACCAACTTTTTGAGTGCTTTCGTCTACCTTTTTGAAGACATTTGATAGATACCTTTCGCTTTTTGCAATATCGTCTGCATATGCACAGATCTAGTACGACTTTGTTATATTGCCGATATTTTCATGGGAGTAAATGGCCGAGATTTTCATGAGTAAATGGCGCAGTGTAATGTTAATATAAATAGAAGTGTCGAAAGGCTGTTATCATCCTATTTAACTCTGGAGCTTATGGCAAACGGCTCGGAGAGGTGTCTATTGAGAATAACCTTGCCTGAGGAATTCCCAAGGATCATTGCTCATTGCAAACGGCTCTGAGGAATTCTCAAGGATCATTGCGACAAATCGAATAAGTTTTTTCGGGGCGCACGCCCACGCCAGAGCCTTATTATTTTAAGGAGTAAAGAGTAACATCGATCAGCGAAATTGGTCTATATTTGCCGCGCTCAAGTTTGTTGCCTTTCTTATAAACTGGGAAGATTAAACTACTTTTCTATGCTTCTGGCATTTGTTCGCTGTGCATTATTTCACATATCAAGTAGTACAATAAGGTTTCTACCTGGTCAAATCCGTATTTATACAGCTCAGCTGTAATATTGTTCTGGCCTGGCGTTTTCTCAACTCTAACCTATTCACCGAATTTTTTACGTCGCCTAGGCTTGGAGGATCATAAAAAATATTATTATCGTTACCGTTTCATTTATTCTGTTAAAATTTAATGAGTCGGTGAAATGCTCCTTTCATCTCTATTGGTTTGGTTTCTTTCAGTGAGTACTACCCCATTCTTAACCTTGCATGCAAAAGGTCTTGGTTCATATTTGATACCAATAAAATTTATTTGACTATGAGAGCCCTTGTATTGTTTCTCTTTCTTTCCTCATCTATTTGTTTATTTTTTGTCTTGTGAAACTCATATTTTTTCTATCTACAAAGCTTATACACAGTTTTATTTTTCGCGGTAACACAGGGTAGCTGTTCTTGTACCTTTATTTATCATATTCATTCTCGCTGTATTTTTTGTTGCAATTGCTCTCCCACATCCATTATCGAACAGTTCTACATTTCGCATAGCTCTCATCTCTTCAATTGCTTCTTTTGCTGAATCGTGTGTTGCGCTTTCTATTGAGAGGTATTGACTTTTTTTTAAACAAATATGTCTAGGAATTAATATATAATCCTATATAATTGCTATTTAACCCTAAATTCAGTTACAAGTCAAAGATATGATTATTCTTATGGTTTAAGTTCACAAAGATCACAGTTTTAGTAATTAACAAATTAATGTGCCAGTTGGAATTACATTACATGATCTTGCTGTAGTTACTAATAGTGCTATTTTTCGGATATCGTAAAAAACCGAAGTTATGCAATTATTCGATTAATCGTATAGCAAAAAAGTCTCCAGAGTTGACCTATTTTTGTAAATATGTCATTTTATTACATACCGGACGGATTTTGGCAAAAATGACCTCATGATCTCCGATTTGGCTGAAATTTTTTTATGAACTCCTTTTATCAAATAAGAAAAGCCCCCAAATCTCGGGAAAAAATGTTGTAATTTTTCTTCTAGGAGATATGGGCCCATGAGGTTTTGAGAATTGACATTGTAAACACATTTTCAAATGGCTATAGCTTAAGTTCTATAAATGGTAGGAACTTGAAATTTGCTGCATTTTAAAGATAATTAATTGAACTTTTAAGAAATTGTTTAAACAATAAAGATTGTTTATATTTAAGTATTTATATAAACCGTTAAATTTCAAAAAAAAAATTTTTCTCAAAACACGTGCAACAGATACAACTATGAAAATAATAAAATTGGGTGTGATACATATGTTAATTGGTTTTTGCGAAAGGGTCACGACTTACTTTCCAAACGGTACAAAACGTTTGTTTGAACAAACGCAGTAAATTTCAAGTTTCTACCGTTTATAGAACTTGAGATATAGCCATTTGAAAATGTGTCCACAATGCCAGTTCTTAAAACCCCATGCGTCGATATCTCCTCGAAAAAAAGATGACAACATTTTTTCCCGAGAAACGGGTCTTCTTATTTGATAAAAGGAGCTCATAAAAAAAATTTCAACCAAATAGGATATCATGAGGTCATTTTTTTACCAAAATCTGTCCGATTTGTAAAAGAATAATCCAAATCCTGAGTCTTCGAACATTCGGATTTGCGATTATTATACGCAGAATTCTTTAGCAAAAAAGAGAGCATTAAATTTAAAATTCCGTGCATCACACAAATAAACACAAATTTTTTTAGGAATAATAGAATTTGTTGTTGTTTGAGCGATTTTCTGTGTTTGCTATTTTACTCAAAAAATTATATGAGTGTAATGCTGTTGTTTATTTTATTTAGTTTATTTTATATTATTTTAGTTGCTTTGTAGGTAAAAAAAGACTGAGAGAAAATTTGTTTCGTATAGAAACACATTCCTTTTTACATTGTGTTCTTCGCGTGTTCTAGGATTTGATATAATTTCAAACACTTCCCCTTAAATTTAGCTCCCGCATAACAAAGTTTATATGAACTATTTTGTTTTAAAACGTTGACGTCCTTCATACCAATTGCATGCTTTACGGATGGTAAACCTTTCGTAAACACCTCTGCTAACATTTCATCAGTAGGTTGGTACTTCACTTTGATGATGCTCAGCAACAATATCTCGAACAAAATTATGGTAAATGTCGACATGTTTAGTGTGGTTATAAAAAACAGAATTTTTCGTCAACTTATCGGCACCCTGGTTATCGTCATAAATTATTTTAGCGTCTTTTTGTTTCAAAATTGGTTCGATGTCAGATAACGATATGTATTCTATCTCTGTACTATACATTGCAACCGTCCGTTGCTTTCGTGATTCCCAACTTACGGCCCACTGGCCAGTAAAAAAACATATTCAGTGTAGGATCTTTGGTCATCAATTGAAGCGCCTCAATCTGCATCAGCATATGCAATCAGTGGCTGGTTTGATTTTTCATACACCAAACCGTAGTTTTCTGTACCCTTTAGATACCGCAGCACCGTTTTGGCCGCTATCCAATGTTGCTTACCAAAATTTGCATTACATTGACTCAATGCGTTTACATCATGAGCAATGTTTGTACGTGTTGATGTAGATAAATACATTAAACTGCCAATTAAATTTTGATACGACATGTTTTTCATCTTATCTAGCTCACTATCGGATTGTGGAGACATTTCTTTCGATAGTTTCTCGTTTATGTTCATTGGCGTTTTAACTGATTTAGAATTGTGCATGTTAAAACGTTTTAAAATTTCGCTTACATAGTTTTCTTGTGACATGGTGATCTTACCATTACGCACACCTTAATTAATTTCTATGCCCAAGCAATATTTCAGTAACCCTAAATCACTCATTTTGAAAGATATCGCCAAATCCATCTTCAATTTGATTAAGTCATTAGCATTATTTGATGCTATCATTAAGTCGTCATCGTAAACTAAAACAATAACTGTACTTTTTTCACTACATTTTAAGTACATACATAGATTGGCATCTAAAGGCATCATACCTATTTTCTTCAAACATACATCTAGCTTTTTGCACCATTACTTGCCCGACTGTTTCAAATAGTAAATCGATTTCTTCAGCAAACATACTTTATCGCCAGCAATTTGTGTTTTTTCTTGTTTCGGACCGATATCCTGAAGCTCGCCAGGAAATTCCAAATATAGTTCTTCTTCAATATCGCCATTTAAGTAGCTACTAACAAAATCCAAATGATGAATTTGAAACCCAAGTTCAACAGCAATCGCCAATAATAGTCGAATTGACTCTATTCACGCCACGGGTGCGAAAGTTTCGAGGTAATTAATTCCAGGCATCAGTCTAAAACATTTTGCCACAAATCTTGCTTTGTGGCGCTCAACAGATCCATCAGCATTTAATATGGTACGAAACACCCATTTTAGTTCTGTTATCTTTTAATTTTTGGGACGATCTACAACAATCCAAGTGTTGTTTTGTTTTAGAGATAAATATTCATTTCCATTCAAAATGCATGTCGCCTTTTAACACTTCCGCAGCAGTTT